ATGTGTAACAGTTAGGTTAAAACTTGGAAAGAGAGCATCAGAGCTTTGGTTTTATAACTTTGCATTTTAGTTTAATCATTAATACAACCGTAATAACTGACTGGTTATCTTTCAGTGGAGCACCTCTGTTTAAAAAAAAACACCCTTTCAAATGTTTGACAAAAATGCTGTGTCATCTTGTAGCACGAGAGACAATGACACAACACAATAGCTGTTAGAATCATCTCTGCTGGTTTGACTGACAGCTCACAGGTGCTCTGAAAGACTGCGTCCACTGACGAGCCTGTCATGTGAGAAACAGTTTGACAGCTGACATTGCGGAAATAGTTACCTGCGCTATATAATGAGATGGGGGGGCGAGCGGGTGGGGGTGGGTGTTGGGGGCGGGTAAGACATTCACAAAGAGCGCCTTGGTGTGGGCCAAACTGACGGGCCTCCATTGGCTCAGTTGTGCAGCAGTCAGCACAGCACTTGGCCACTGACACCTGCTCACGCATCCAAGTGTTGTCACAACTGTTGAAGCCCCGTGCGCACACAAACACTACCTCTACAGAGCGCACTCACACCCCAGCTGGCCCCAGGACAAGTGTATTAAAACCACGTGTGTCAATGCCTTGTTCTCACTTTCAGTCATCTTGACATGGCACGCTGTTGGTTTAGAGCAGGTCTAATTAACAAGAAATAAACAGTTTTATCTGAGGCAGCTTAATGGGCAGCTGAACTAAACGATGTCCATCATGGCACTTTGGAAGTGTACACAGGAATACATTTATTATATATGCAAGTAGGGAAGATGCAGCTGATCAAAGAAGATTTTTTTTCTTTTTTCTTTCATTTTCTTATGTTGATAAACTACCACAAACTGTACTTGTATACATGTTTCTGAATTTTTTGTCTGAGTTCTATTCAAAGCAGTCCGCTAGCGTGGGACCAGTGTTACACCCTGTCACATGCAAATGATGACAGCCCATTTGGTGTATTGCATGCAAAGTATGTTTAAAAACACTTGCTAACTGTAATTACCAGCTGAAGTTGCCGTTCATTGATATTACATTACATTCATTTATGATAAACCAGTAGTTTTTTTGCTTTAACTTATCATTATCAAGGAAATGTTGATACACAATGTATAGAAAAATGACGCCATTGGACTGGTTCCCTATAAGCTTTGCTTTCACTATGCAATTCTGTCTACAAGCGGGTACAATCTGCTGGAAAAATGAAGGCTTGATTTGCAGTGACTATCTCCAGTAGCAAACGGCAAACAGTGGAACAACCAAAGTAACTGTGGAAACTGTGGTAGTTGCTAGGCTCTGAGGGAAGCGGAAAGCAATCCAGTTGTCTTTGCAACAGCGGCGCCAACAATAATACCACCTGGAAATGCTACGAGAAGTTAAAAAGTCATCTGTTTCCTCCTCACTAATACAGTGATTTTGTATCAGAAGGTAGATTCCTTTTTTTAAATTACCGAGTGACATCTGTTAGTCAAGTAAATTAGTAAAGCTGGCAAGTTTACAGCACACAACTAAATTACATAGCAACACAGCAAATGGGCGTGAAGAATCTACATCCTGGAAACCACAACATTGCTCACAATCCCAAACGTCAGCCTAAATATGAGATTTGATGTATGTGTAACTGTAGTTAGAGCGTTTTATTAACTAGCTGAGTGACTGATACTTGTTCTAAATACACAATCAGTTCATCAAAGAGCTATAAACTTTTTACTGTATACAAATGTACTGTATGTGTAGGAGTAAAATACATACAATAACAAATCTGATGAGCAAACATACTTTTGTATCTAGTGTATCTATTCTACAATTCATATTAATGTTGAAGACTTTGGGCTGGTGCCTTTTTTTGTTTCAAAGGTGCTCTTGCCCTAATCTTGGTTTAAGGGTGCAGGATGGTCTCTAGGTTACAAAATGTTTACAATGTAAAATATGCAGACCTACACTGCTTGAAAAAAAGGTTTGTGAGATGTGATTATAAGAGTGTAGAAACCCTGAGGATTCATATCAGAAAAAGAAGAATAATTGAATCTAAAAGCCGTCTCCAGACTTTGTATTCTTGCCACCAGAGTGAATAAAAAGAAGACCTGATTTAATTTCACCTTATCTGACTTTTAAGCCAGGGTAAACAAAGAGACAGCCTTTGAATCAAGGCAACTCAGAAAGAATGCTTTTAGCTGCGTACAGTGTGATCATGGGCTAGATAGTTTTGGACATTTTTTTGACAACTGATCCTGCAGCCCTGATACGGAGCACGTCGAGGCCTTTGGTAGTAAAATGGTGGGTGATGTTACCCAGAATGCTGTGGGGCTAGAGGCAGGAGACTTGAGAGGGGTTTTAGGCAGCTAAAATTACAAACTGGCATCAGATAAATTTAGATTTGCAACACTTAAACACTCCTGACAGGATGGTGTAGCCATCTTCTGTAAATACATGTGTACTATTACCTCCCACTTGACTCTCTCAAACTTGTGATGAATAAACCAGCACTGGGTGAAGCATTACGTAAGCTGAATATAGTTGCAACTCAGACATTGGTATGACTAAATATACAACTGGGAAGCTGGGTTTCAGTGTGTTGGCAGCAGCAGTGGTTGAGTTTGTATTGACCAACTGACTAATTAATTAATCAAGCAATCTTATGAGCTCTGTCCACGCCACAAAGACACCAATCGTCAAATAAATAAATAATAAGAAAATAAAAATGGTGTTATCCTGGCAGGGGCAATTCAAGACCAATCCCTGGGTAACTATTAATTATGTCCAATTATCAGTGGCTTATGAAACAAGAAGGCACTGCAAGTGGCCTAATAAAATGTGCAGGTCATTAAGTTACATCTCATTATGGCGATAATTAGTTTGCAGTAGTGCGTGGAGCAGGGCTCGGGAGGTCCAGTTAGTGTGGAGGACGTCCCTCTGTCGGCGGATAAAGGGAGTGGTCTAACCGCGGAGAGAAGTCTGCTTTCCAGCAACGCTTCCTAAACGGGGCACAAGCGGCCAAAGATAATAACACACCTCACCGGACAATCGGTGACAAAAACAACGGGCCCAATACTCTACAACCCCCATATGACCAAGACCAGCCGAAAGCTGCTCCTGCAACACATGGCCCGAATAGGAGTCGCAAACAATAGGCATGTTCATATTAACACACAGCCATCACTGCTTATTTATACTGTAACCATATAAGCACCGCTGCCTAATTACGCTCCTCCCTCCTTCACTCACTCATCCATTTGCGCCGCACAAATATCTTTATTCACCCACTCACTCCTGCTCTCCGCACCCGCTTTATTCACTCATTCATTCCTTCACCCTGCCATCTATTCACTCCCCCTCCCTCCCTCTTGTGCACTTGTGCTGTGTAGTAGCCTCCAACTCACCCTTTCATACTCCCTCCCTCTTCTGTGCCACATAAAAAAAATCACTCATTCACTCCTCCCTCCCTCTCTCCTCGTTTTCACTCATTCAATCCCTCCTTGCTCACTAACCCACTAACTCACCCACCCTCCCTTAAACACACACGCGCTCGCACCAAAAAACAAAAACACTCAACTCAGTGTGAGGACACAGGTGGAGACAGAGGGGCAGATATTTCCCCTCATTGGATTTAACTTCATTTTGATTATTTACACTATTTATCGTTTAAAATGTTAAAAAAAAACACAGGTGAGATATAAATAATTTGGCATAATTATTATTATTTGAACAACAGTGGAGACTTCAATGCTCCAAAATGGATAATAAGCTGAACCACTGCACTCCACACTGTAGAGGACCACCTCTCTGCCTGGTGTTGTTTTGCACTATGATGTGAATGAGGACAGAAATTTGGTTATTATCCAAAAATAGTGTCCATTAACTCCAATAAGCATGCCACAAAAAGTCGGGGGGGAAAAGCACTACTCCAGTGGCTGTGACTTTCATATATAGGAATCAAAATGGCGTTGCAGGGAGGGACATGAGACCTGATATTAAAATAAGAAATAATTCAGGAGTATTATAGTAAAGTTTGTTATTTGGGAGGTTTTTGTTGTTGAGGACTGGCACCACAGACCCTCATAAAAAAAAGTGGAGTGCCATATGTCAGACCTGTTATTGACTGTGGTCTGATGCGCCAGTTCCTGAACAAAAGAAAGCCATCACTGCGTCCTATATTGAAGGACTTTGGTTTCGGCTGCAGCCCCCCCTCCCGCAGCTGGACTCACACCTGGTCACACAGCAGCCCTTTACAGCCCTGTCGAAAATATGGTGATCAGTTTTATGATCCGGTATCAGAGTCCCTGATCTTTGGAGGTGTTGGCAACTTTCCTGACAATGGAGCTCGAGTGGCGACTGCCATAGTGACAGTTATAAGCAATTCTGTCCAAAAAGCAGCAAACACAGCAAACCCATCCGCCGCATTCCAACCTATATACACCCATATCATCGTCCCAAGGGTCACCTGCCACTTAGATATTGTGACATTTAATTTATAGGAGGTTTAACAGCAAATAATCTCGACCACGTCACTCAAAGTCAATGGCCGGACTGTGTTAGTTGGGAAAATGTATCGATGTATTAAAAGCAAAAACGGAAACGGAATCCCGTTGAACCGCGTGCATCCGTTTGAGCATAGATATAATTTCAATATGCATTGGATGATTTTGCCCCAGGTTCCGTCTGTTTGGGTCAATTTAACGCGAATTGTGCAAAATTGTTCACAGCCCCCGTTACTTCCAGCGGGTTTTCCTGGAATAAAAGTTGTTCGCCGGCGCGGATGAAGAGAAAAAAGTGTGTCCCCGTAAAGCCCAATGTCCCTGCTATCAGCCCATGGCGTTTTGTGGATCAGTACTCCGCCGTGGTTTTTATATTTGTCGGAAGTTGGAGGATGAAGAAACACAAACGGGACGGCGCCAGTTCCATGGAGTCCGCTAGATCAGCTGCTGGCAGTTGGTGTTCTCAATCACGTCCGCAGAAAGGCTTCATAGGCTCACCGAGGCGCCTGTGGAATAAGACACTTAAGTGAGCCGGTGTACTGACGCGTCACTTTGTGTGGACAATTACATTATCTGTTTTTTACTGTGAAAACAGTTTAATTGGCTGCCTTCTCGGACTTTGTGGGGAAACGCTTTATTCCTGGCTGTGCATTTATTTTGCTGTTTCTGACGCTCCGGTGTACCAGCTGAGCCGGGTGAAATTACACCCCCTGGACTTTTTTTTGTTACCAAACTCCAAAGAAAAGTCACCATGGCAGAGACGTCGGCAGCTCCAGCCAAAGCCAAAAAGACAGCCAAGCCCAAGAAGCCTGCTTCTCATCCCAAATACTCGGAGATGATTAAAGCGGCCATCGTTCACGACGCGAGCCGGGGTGGAGCGTCCCGGCAGTCCATCCAGAAGTACGTGAGGAAGAACTACAAGGTGGGCGACAACGCCGATGTGCAGATTAAAATGGCCCTGAAGAGGCTGGTGGCATCTGGAATCCTGCGCCACACCAAAGGCATCGGCGCGTCCGGATCCTTCAGGTTGACCAAACCAGAGGACTCCAAGAAGTCAACCAAGGCAGCGGCACCTGCCAAACCAAAGAAGGCAGCCAAGCCAGCCAAACCTAAGAAGGCTGCAAAGCCCAAGAAGGTGGCCAAGACGCCGGAAAAACCCAAGAAGGCAGCTGCAAAGAAAGTGAAAAAGGTCACGAAAAAGCCGACACCTGTGAAACCCAAAAAGGCAGCAGCGAAGAAAGCTAAGCCAGCAGCCAAGCCCAAGGCAAAACCAGCAAAGAGGGCAGCCAAGCCCAAGCCAAAGCCATCCAAAAAGGCAACCAAAGGAAAAAAGAAGTAAAGGGACAATATCAGAGACAAAGTCACTGTAAATACTTAAGGAAATGTTTTCGTATATGTATTATTTTTGTAAGGTCTCATGCAAACTTAAGCTGTTTTTACCAGTAGTTTCCTCTCCATTGCACTATAGCCTATAGATGCTGTAGAAATAATTGTGAGCATTTTTATTTGGCGTTAATAATACTGTTAATTTCTGTCACATCCTTTGATAGGCTAGACCTGGGTCTTGCTTTAAAAGGGACAAACATGTATATACAGTTGAACTTATGAGTAGCTGTTAGTGCACGGGGTCATACTGAAAATACAAATGTGACAATGGTGAGCATTGTTGAGCCTTTACAATGTACAGACCAGAGGCAGTGGACGTCAGCAAGATTTTCCTAAAGGCTCCATAGTTGTCATTCAAGCTCCATTCTGTATATTTACTCATGTTCAGACGACTCTTAACATACAAACATCACACTGTGTCCAGTCACTTTTGAAGACTGTTTATACTGCAATTCAATAAACCTTTGTCATCTTCTACAAAAATGTGTTGTCAACTTATTGCGCGCATTTTACGCGTGCGTAAAAATGGTTGGTAAAGTGGACGGAGGCATTTCTGTGCATATTAAAGATTAATAGGCGTAACGTAATCTACCGAAGAGCCCAATAATATTGTCTCCAACATTTTAATACACCATATTTTTTATCTCAGACATGTTAACCAAGTTAACCCGCGGCATTAAATTACAGCTATTGTGCGCCAAGGTGCTGCAGACAAAGCGCACTTATGGAGGCTCCGATGAGGGATGATACTCTATTGCAGGAGGGTTGATACACTAGTGGACATGGACATAATGACATTTAGGTAGACTGCAAGTTATAACGTGATAAATTAGACTAAGTGTTAAATATCATGGTATATAAATGAGTAGAATCGTGCTCTCTGATAACATTACTGCTTTACCAACTGGTCATGGACACTTATTTGTATAAAGTAAAAGCCCTGTGTACCATGGTGATGCTGTTGGTAAACAAAAGTGCGCTGAAATAAAGTCCCTTAAGGGAATAGTGGCGTTAAATAAGGCAAAAACATTAATTTGCGGGGAAAATTAACTAAGTTCTCCATAAAACTACTCAAAACATCTCAGTGTGTGTTCAAAACTTCCATAAACACAGGACATAAAGCTTCAGTTACACCAGTTATTTTTTTGGTTGTTCCAGCACGAGACTACACTCAAAATCCCGACATCCTCCTTCCTGAGTGGGTGCAGAGCACCGAGGAGGTGGCTTTGAAGGCACACCCAGCGCTCACTACTCTCTCACCTGACGTGCAACACTGCCATCTTGTGGTGTCTCGCAAGAACAGGCGACTCCTCTTCGCTGCAGTTGGGACTGTGGGACGCCACCAGCAGACAGACTGGAGTCAAACTGATGAAAGTCAAGATTGCACACACAGATTACCCTCTGTACTGTGTTACTCATTATCAGCTTTAAAGACAGGTGTAAGATCATCAAACCAACCTTGTGAAACAGCTTCAGGCTGAATGATCAGAGCAGAGTGTCCACACTCGCAAAGGCATGCTGTTCCTGTATTTTGACATGCTATGTGGAAAAGGGTAGTAATTGGTGTTGCTTTAACAGAGTTACCAAACATGAACAGCAGAACAGCACCCTTAAAATCCATTACTATTAGCAACCAATGTGTGATTAAGATGATATGGTATCTGGAACATGAATGATACTCCTAGAATACAGCAACACTTTTAAAGAGCAATGTGTCACACACACATTCAAAGTGTCACAGAGATTAAAAAGTGTGTCAGGTGTCTTAAGTCTGATATTTGTGTATTAATGCTGAAAATAAAAACTAAACATAATTCAAAATGCATCATTTAAATCAATCAGCCATAAGAAGATACTACAAATCAAGAAGGTGAATATGAGGGGCACCAACTGTCAAACATATTAAAATAAAGCACATCATTCATTTTCAATCCCAACGTCCATAAAGTCTCGGGCAAAATGTCCCCACCCAGTCTAGTCTGGTCTTTTATTAAGCATCTAAATCAGTTCAATTTCAGTAAGAAAAACAGCCATCTTTTAAAAGTCACAGAAATGTATTCTGTAGAAACAGCAGGTCCCGAGCTAAATCAAGCAACAAAACATACATAACATGACTGACTCATGTTGGGGAAACAATTCAATGGCGGATTATGTAAGAAGGTCAAAGTGTACGCACAGTGTCAGGTGTATCTAAATAGAATCACAGACCTATTGCAGTCTCAATCAAAAATCAATGAATCTCATTTCAGTGTGAACAGAAGGAAGCTGATTGTGAGCAGAGATTAATTTGACCCGATTGTTCTTTTAACATTTTGTCATTCTCAAGGATCGTCTCCTTCTATGGGAGAAAATATTTTGACTTACTGCAGATGCATAAACAATCCATCGTTTTTCTTCATGCACACCCCTCCCTGCCACAGCAGATCAGTGTCAGCAGAGACCTCACTGCTAAAAACATTAAAATAATTAATTCTCAGGCAAGATAATATGCCTGAGGGGCAGATAACATGCTATGACTACTTGTTGCTCCTGGAGTTATTTGGCAAATCAGATATGAACATTGAGTATCTGTGGTGGCATGGTCAGAAGACAGAGCGTAGTTCATTGGGGAGTTCCAGCAAAAGATTCAGTGGCAGCTAATGCTCCACGTGCTGCCCTTTGGTTCTTCAGACTAGTCAATTTGGCATTTTTCTACATTATGCTTAGGAAACACTGCATATGCTGTATATAAAAACGCTTCCCTCTCACCATTAACACTTCACAGATCATTTAGGGGAAAGCAATAGATTTGACGCATCATTTCCTCCCCTTTGATAAAGCACCTGTTTGGATGTGAACAGTTCTTCGTGTATCAATGCACTGAGCACTGACAGGCTAACTCCTACTTAACCTGGCTGGACAATGTAAGGCAGAAAAAGCTGGGCACAGCAGCGTGGGGAAAAGTATGATCACTTGCTTTTGGGCTGCTGCGATCAACTGACTCAGAGGGTGGGACAAAGTGAAGAAGGGCAGAGATATGAAGAGTTTTCTGGAAGCCTTTGGGGTGAAACGTAAAATGATGCGGTGGCTCTGAATCTGGTCGCTGAGGTTTGGTCTTGATGGATGGATCAATGGAGCGTCAGGATAAAATAAAAACAACAAAAACTGGTTGTTGATCATTTCAGTCTGGCGACGGCTCTGTAGATGGCAAAGCCCAGAACTGCGACCACGGCTGAGCCCAACGCCACTCTCAGCCAGAATGATGTGTTGCTCATGTCTGAACCATTCAGGTGTCTGCAGGTTGGAGGAAAAAATCATTAAGGGTCAGTCACACAAAGCAACACACAACTTCTACCTACCTATCACCTTTTAATCACTCAGCATGTAAGACAATATTGTCCTCTTACTGATCTTTATATTTTCCAGGTTTTCAACGTCGTCTAATTTTACTTAAGAGCATAACTTTGCTGAACTTAAACGTACGGGTATACTGCTGCCCAGGCAAGCCTCGAGTAGATGTTCTTGCTGGTGGAGTCGAGGAACACGCTGGAGAAGGGCAGCGGCGGAGGCAGTTGGTGTTTGTAACAGAACTCTGCTGGAGTCATCCCGTGGAACTGCTTGACCTCAGGAAGGTCCACCTTGGAGGCAACCAGCACACATGGGATTTTGCTCTCCATGTAGTGTTGCTGAGTAAGAAATGGGATAAAGAGTGAAAACTAGCTGAGACAGAAGAGAGTCTACCTTGTTTTCAAGTCGGCCACAATGAAATTCCCTAATTGTAACACGTAATAAATGTAAACGAAACGAAGAGAAGTCTGAGTCACTTTTATCATGACTTGTACAGGGACATTGCTCTGTCAAAGTTTCTAAGGTAAAATGTTTTTTTTCTGTCTGTGTCAACTGTCTGACAGTAAGCAAGTACAAACAGTACCTGTTTACATGGAGCCTTTTATTCAGCTAATAATCAGAGTACCAGACCAAGACAATTTCCAGTTGTAGACACATTAATCTGATTAAATACTCCATATTGGATGAGCTGGTTTAATTCCCTTTTAATTCTTACACAATTTGGCGAGAAAACAACCCAGATTACTTTGTATATTCCAGAGGATCTTTAGTACAAGTCATTTGAAAATCCCCAACATTGTCTCTCTTCCACAAGTTAATCTTTATCAGTACTCTCAACCACTTGTCAGCTTTATCCAGGTTTTGTATCTTCCAGAGGGGAAAGATCTTTGGTTAAGTGGTGTCTACTAGTTTTCAGGAGATTCTGAATCAAAGCAGGCCTGCTTTTTTCCAGTTTAATAACAGCAGGGTAATATTTACAGATCAAACTGTTGCTTCACTCGAACAGATCAATAAACTAACAGTGAAGCTTGACGCATATCTGTGTCTCTCTCATCTGCCCATAACGAACTGCTGTGCTCAGTGTATTGCACGTTAGAGCCCTTCTTGCTAAAGAACATGTAAACAGAATACCTTTCTCACCATACAAGGCTGATGACACACAAACACCAGCATGATCTCTGAATGGCACGAATCCAAAATGAGAATAAATGAATCTATTAATGCTCCTGTAAGGTTTGCCGTCACTGACCTTGTATATACTGGCACAATAGTCGAAGGAATGAGGGTCACTGGCGTCATACATGAGACAAGCAACATCGCAGGAAGCGTCTGATGCCTTCAGGAACTCCACTTCCACATCCACCTCATTGAGCTGCACGGAGAGGAGAAGAGAGTGGTGCTCAGGCTTCAGTCAGGGTCAGAGGTTAGGGGTCAGCATTAAGATCAGGATGGGAGCCACTTACGATAAGGTACTTCTCCTGGTTGCTCACTTGGACAGTGTTTATGGCATAGGGGGAGAAGGCACTGTTGGAATTTCCCTTTTTCTGTAGAAGACAATAGTTTAACAGTCACTACTTAGCAATATCTATGTTGATGAAAGCAGACTAGGATAAGTTTATTTGAATATTCTTCACTCCAGACTAGCAGACAGTGCCATACCACAACGTTGCGGCCCACAAAGGCCTGGAGAAAGGCTGTCTTGCCGGTCCCCCGAGGTCCAATCACTTTGCAGAGAAACACTGACCGCTGTGTCTGGCGTTTTTCCAGGTCCACCTCTTTCTCCTGTGTTACTGCACATATAAACATAACTTGTGAGCTTTTTATTTTCATGCAATATCATTAATAGCCTTGAGGTGGGAGGCTAACGTCAGCAGAGCAGAGGATGTAATTCCTGCACCAGCTGAGAGATCAACCTGCCAAACAAGCTTATGTTTCAGTTCCTCTACACTGCAACAAATGAGTCTGTCCTCTCCTGTTTGATCACTGTTTGGTTTGTTTTGGCCAACATACAGGGCATAGAAGCTACAGTCCAGTCCACAGAAAACATCACTTGTGCTAATCTGTTCATCCTAGAGGATCTGTAGTTGCTTGTGTTGTTAAAATGATGGAGATGGCAGAAAATAACGTGTAAATAAGACCCAGGTTGTAAAAAAAAA